TTTTTTTTTTTGTCCTGGTATAAATCAAAATTTAAAATTTTACAATATTTTTTTCGATGAAAAGTTACATGTGTTTTTGCCACCCCAAAAGTCAAATCCTAGATTCGTCCCTGCTGTGGGTTTTCGACGTTCTTTTGAATTATTTGTCATCCCAAATTTTAGATTTTTGCCTCCTGTTCTGTTGTGGATTGGCTTCAAAATACGTTCTTAAGGTGATTCATAATATGCTGTGAAAATATCAGAGTAGAGCTTTTTATGAAGCTGACTCTGTTGATTTTGATTTCGATTTCGTGTAATGCATTGCAAAGGCGAAATCGCTACATTGGTTCTGTAGTTCCTCATTGCTTGTTATTTGTATTGTGTGTGGTCTTAAACATAATTGAACCCAACTCATAATTTGAGTACAAGTTAGGCTTTGAGTGTGTTTTGGTTCAATAGGCATTTTATTTCCTGTTCATTTTACATCATTGCAAAAGTCAAAGATGAAAAACCCTTCTTTGATAGTTTGTGAATATTCCATTTGGGTGATGCTTTTCTCTACAAAAGATTTTTGTAGTGAATATCCATAATTACTAATGTGAAAAGGGCACTTGTAATCTCTATGAGATTATGGTAGGTTTTTTGCTTTGAAATTGATAGGAACTAGGAAGAGATACCCACATTCGAGAGTTACATTTCTTGGTCTAAGTTGTTTGTTAGTGCAGCTTGGTTTTTGTTTTTGATGTTTTCTCTTCAAGTTTGTGTCCTTACCATGATATTAAATGAAGCATTCTGTTTAGAAGCTAAATCATCTTTCAACTTCCATAATACCTCGCATCGCCGCTATACTAAACTAAATTTAGTTACACTATATGTATGCATAATACATTTATGAACCCTTTTTTTGTATGTTTTTTCATCACAGCTTTGTCTTTCCATTCTTTTATTGGTTTTTTATGTTTTCAGAGAAATTGAAGAAAAATCCCTCTTTGAAGGTGAAGGAGCCCTCAAAAGATGGAGGGTCTGATCATATTGCTGCCCAGACTTTCACATTTCGTGAATTGGCTTCTGCAACCAAAAATTTTAGGGGTGACTGTCTTCTTGGAGAGGGAGGTTTTGGAAGAGTATATAAAGGGCGACTGGAAAGTTCTAATCAGGTTGAGCAAGTTTATCTTACTCAACTATTAATGCAATAAAGAGAGAAAAGAAGAGCAGTTGGAAAAAATTCCCACAACTGCTCTCTCTCTCTCTCTCTCTTCTTTCTTCCAAACGTTTTCGGTTACCTAAAAGGCTAATGGGAAATTGAAAGAAATTTTCTTGATTGTCTACTCAACACATATCTCCAAAAGGCCTTCTAGACTGTGATTGCTATGGTTTCCTCATCCCGAACCACTAAGCTTTAATGCTGCAAATTTGCATTACTTGGATGACGGTGAAACTGAAAGTGTTTTACTACTTTTTGTGTAGATTGTGGCCATAAAGCAACTTGATCGTAATGGACTGCAAGGGAACAGGGAATTCCTTGTTGAAGTGCTGATGTTAAGTTTGCTTCATCATCGTAACCTTGTTAATCTTATTGGTTATTGTGCTGATGGAGACCAGAGACTTTTGGTTTACGAGTACATGCCACTAGGATCTCTAGAGGACCATCTTCATGGTATGGATTATCTTTTTGTACAGCCCACATCTCCTGATTTTCCTTTTTTTAAAACGTTGTGACTGGACAATAAACTCGGGGTCTTATTGTGCAGACCTTCCACCTGGCAAGAAACGGCTTGATTGGAACACAAGAATGAAAATAGCAGCCGGGGCAGCAAAAGGGTTGGAGTATTTACATGACAGAGCCAGCCCCCCTGTAATATACCGTGATTTAAAATGCTCCAACATTTTGCTTGACGAGGAATATCATCCCAAGCTATCTGATTTTGGGTTAGCAAAACTCGGGCCTGTCGGGGATAATACGCACGTATCAACAAGGGTTATGGGTACTTATGGGTACTGTGCCCCAGAGTATGCAATGACTGGCCAGCTGACTCTGAAATCAGATGTTTATAGCTTTGGGGTCGTTCTTTTGGAGATCATTACAGGTAGGAAAGCAATCGACAACTCAAAAACTGCGGGAGAGCACAATCTGGTAGCATGGGTAAGAGATCCACACTTGTCTCATTGTTAACCTTACTTGAGGTCAAGTAAATTTGAAATTTTCATTGTTTTTATTGAAATATATGGTGGGCCAGCATCTATATTGTCTCACATGTTATACCAAGACTGATACTAACTATCAGAGGTGTACGCAGATAATGCGAGCCTGTTGTTGTAAGACATCGTGATTGTTACTTTGCATAACTTTGTGATTGGTTTGGGCAGACCTGAACTTGAATGTTGGACTGAACCCAACTAATTGAATCATATGATACAGATAAATTCAACCAAATAAGACCCATGTGAACTGAACTTGAGTTGAGATAAGATAGATTCAACTGTGTTTACCCAGAATGCATATTTTAATAATTTTACTCGTTTATAGGAAATATTAGGGGAAAGCATGAGAAACTGTTCTTTTAATCCTGCATTTTATGGGAAGGCAGTACTTTTGGTTGATAATTATAATTTATTAAGAAAGAGGAATAAGGGGGTGCACAACCTGTATTGAAAAAGATGACCTGCATCAACTATACTTATACATGACAGACCTATTCTATGGTATCTGCAAAATCCAAAAATTGGTTCAAAGACAGATTGATTGTCCCGAAACCAGAGTATACAAAACAGACAACAGAAAACTCTTAATTTTGAAGACGTACTCTTCTTTTCCCCAACAAAAGTTCTATTTCTTTCACCCCAAACTAACCATGTTATTGCCAAACACCAAGCCTTTCTTCTTGTATTACCCACTCAAGTTCCTCTCCATGAACAAAGAAGCTTGCCCAAACCTCTCGGGGAATGCCCAAGCAACTCCGAACATGAGGAGAATGAAAAATCATGACTCTCACACTACCTCATAGTGAATTAGTAAGGTTTTGTTTCGATCTGGGATTTGAGGAGGGATTTGTGAAGGAAAAGGGAAAAGAAAGGAAAATGTGACCAAAATTTAGCTTCAATTTCATTCACTTTTCACTTTCTATTTCCTCTCTCTCTGCAAATCCTTGATCCAAACACAACCTAAATGATTCAATGTTTTCTCATCACACACTGCTTGCACATACAACATCTGTTAACATGCATCTGCCTCTTGACGTGATGCAGGCAAGACCTTTATTCAAAGATCGAAGGAAATTCTCACAGATGGCTGATCCAATGCTCCAAGGCCAATATCCCATGAGGGGGTTGTACCAAGCTCTTGCAGTCGCAGCAATGTGTGTTCAGGAGCAGCCTACAATGCGCCCGGTCATAGCCGATGTAGTAACAGCTTTGAGTTACCTTGCTTCGCAGAAACACGACCCTGAAACCCAGCCAGTCCAAAGCTCCCGCTGGGCCCCTTGTACTCCTCCTAGGACAAGGAGAGACAGTAGCGATAAGAGACTCAATGGCAATAGTGGATCGGAGAGGGATCGAACCAGAAGGTTAAATTGAGATTGTTTCTTGAGGATTCCTTCTCAATCCGAGTAGATATGCTTTGCAATGTGTCAATGGTAAAACTACAGTCAGAGATGATCAGAGCTCAAGCAATGCCTGCTCATCGCATTTTGTGTCACTTCACACTTACCAGCGCACATCTGAGCCCTTTTGTGTTTGTCGTGGGAGAAAATTTTCGCCTTCTTTGTTGTTATGCATACGTGAGAGAGCCCAATTGTGTCAATATTCGTGCCTCGTCTTCAGACATCTGGTTTTGCCTTGTATGTGGTATTTCCCCATTTTCTTGTGCCTTTCTTTTATTTGTACAGTTATGTTCTCTGCATATTCAATTATATAAGTTTCTGTAAAATTAAAAACAATTCAAACCACGACTATAACTATATTGCATCACGGATTTGACATACACATGGAGATCATAATTTTTTATTATTATTATTTTTTTTTTGTTGCTAAACTGCTTTCTCAAGTGTTGTGGGTGTGTTGGTTTGGTTGTTGTAATTTAAGATTTGCGGGCTGCGTTGTCTTTGATATTTGAATGAAGGTAATTCCTTGTCCATTGAGTGATCGTCTTTAGTTGAATGAAATTATACATCAAAGGTGAAAAGGTTGACTCTGTCGAGTTACTGGCTAACTTTTATCCTCCATTTTGTTCTGATGCTAGTTACAGTACCCACCGCTCACATGGGTGTTTTTCTATCTTTCTCTGACCAGCTATGGTGTCTTTTCAGAAGCCAATGCCGGATTTTTTTCCTTTCTGTTTTTTTCCCCCCTTTTCCTTGGTACATGACCTTGGTTCTTTATGATGTTAGTATCATATCAACATCTTGCCCTGCATGCCTTGGCTAGTTGTATGCTCCCCACATTACTACGAAGGTTAAGAATATCCTCCCCTTTACTGGCTCACTGGCTTAGGAGTGGATTTTGAACCTCCAGTTTATTTTCCTGGATTGGATTGGATTGGGTCTAAGGTTCTTGATTGAAGGTAAAAAAAGAGCCAACTAAAATGGTGGTTTTGTGTTACGAGATCTTTGAGAATTAGATGGACTTGAAATGCACAAATTTTAACCAATTAAAAAAAAAAACAAAATACTAAAGACTATGTTTTTTTTTTAAAAAAAAAAAAAAAAGTGGTGGACCAATTGTTAACAATCTTAATTCTCACTGCCCGTGAGGTCATCCCAAAATTTAGGAGAGACATGTACCAATTATACTCCGAAGCCATTTAGCAAAGCTGCAATCTTTCAGAAAGGGGAATGGTATCGTTAGGAACACTAATAAATGTTCCAACAAACATACTTATTACACATAATATTCTTGTTATAACTAACTATCTAAATTAACAACAGTTAAAAGTCATGTTTTTGTCACAGCTTAAAACAAATACTAAGAGCACAAGGCAACAATCAATTTCTAAAGAGAGAATTTATCTTGCACCTGTTACCAAAATCTAGTAATGATAACAATGAATCTTATTGACTTGAAATGTAAAACAAAGTTCTAACTAACATAAATTAATGAACAAAAAAACAATAAATAGATGTATGTTTTACAGAGTATAGAGGGGAATAAAAGGTCTCTATGGCTCATCAAATCGATGTTTGTACAATTAAATTACTCCCATACCCAAAACTTCAAGGGTACAAGCACAAAAGAACACTACGTGGCTATTTACTGGAACATGTACAAGGTGTAAGGAGTCTAGTACTTGAAGCAGCAAGGTCAATTTTCTAAGTAAAACACCGCCAACTACCGTTACTTTTCCTGCTCTTGGAGGCCATTGGTGTCAACTGGCTTAGTGCTCGAAGAGAGTTCCTCACTGGTAGATTTGCTTTGACTGGGATCCTCAACGTTAGTCGCTTTTTTGGGATCCTCAGCATCAGTCGCTTTTGCCTGTTACATTCATGTAATTTTATTTTAAATCTCAATGACCAAAAGACAAGCAGTATCTGCAGTGTGTGAGTTAATAAGCATCTGGACGATGGAGCATGTAGTGGCGGTGACTGCACACAAGGCAGTTGCTGCAGTCGCAGTTGTGGCTCCAGAAATATTGGTCTTCAAAAACTTTATTAGAATTTATTTAAAAGAAATCACACTTGTCAATATCTATCATTCAATAAATTTCCAAATTTAAAATTCTTAAATCACAAACAAAGAAGAATTTAATATATTGATATACTATTATTTCAACAAAACAAAATTAATAAATTAACTGCATGGAGTTCTACATCGCTCTCGACAACCCATATGACTTGTACGTAATCTTGATGAAAGATTCCCTATATCCGACGGTGGGAGATATATAATGTCATGGGGGGGTTGGTATTGCATATCCCCCCCTTTTGGGGGATATACTATCCAAACTCCCTATATCCGGAGAAACCAAACACGGGATATAGGGAGACAAGAAAACATGTGGGACCCACGTCATATTATATCCGGTCGCCCCTCATATCTGCCCCTTATATACCCCTAACAAACAGGGCCTTAGTTTACTATTAGTACTCAAAAAATAAATGTATGGGCTAGATGGATTTTTGGTATGACCCATAGAGCATCATTTTATGGACCTTTTTTCCTGGGTACGTAGAGTTCTTAACGTAAGTAATGCGATTAGAATTAAAAGGATATTGTGAGCAGGTTGTAGGGTGGTATGAAAAGTTTGAAGTGAGTGAGTTGGGTGTTCAAGATTTGTGAGATGAGTATTCAAAATATGATTTTGGGTGATCAAATTATGAGCGGGTTAATTAACATATATATAAAGAAAAAATCATTACATGTGGTACCAACCCTGGGCAGTTGAAAGGTCCTACACAGTTCATTAAAAATCGCCTCTAGTATTATGAATGACATAAAAAGAATTGTCCGCCCATCAATATGTTCATTCATGTAGCATTGCCTAGAATTTCTCTCATTTCACAACCCATCATACTTAATGACTGCACGTTTGTGTGGACATGAAGTAACCAAGAATCATAGTGGACAGAGTATATAAAACCTTACCTTGTTCCTGTCACGCCAGCCCATTCCAAATGAGAGTAGACCTATCCTTCTAGTGGGCACTGCAGTTGGAGAATCTGGACGCACAGACCTACAAAGCATGCTACCATCATAAGATACCATCTTCATGAAGAAGCAGAAAACCAATACATCAATGCTAAGAAGAATGGACACAGAGTTTAAATATATACCCAATGGGATAGTTGTAAAATATGTTGCTGTTAGTGGTAAATTATTCCAAAAGTCTATAGGGTAATTAGTCAGTAGTGTTGTTGAGGTTTTGTCACTATTTTGGTGCATGTCATCATACACATTTGAGGGCTGTGTGTCGTGGAGAGTGATGCAGAACTAGATAACGAAAAATATGGCAAACTGAGAATTTCATATTTAGAGAAACAAAATATCCTGAACTCTTAAGGTGTAAAACTAACTCTCACTACAAATTCACATGGTTTTTTGCTACAAAAAGAAAAGAGAAAAAAATTTAAAGGTCTGTTAGTTATATTAACTCTTAAACACTCAAGAACAGGGTTATATATGGAGAAACAAAATGTCAAAGTCTAAGGAATTGCTCATGTACCCGGGGGAGGCTAGTGCTTTAACTTGGCCATGTTGATATTGGATTGTAGCCTCCAACATTGATTCTGCCATTACAACCCTCTTCTCCATTTGATCAAGCGAAGCCATAGCCTTCTCATATTTTTCCTGCTTAAAAATGGTTTGTTGAGAGTATGTATAACCATATAGCAATAGATAACAAAAATAATGATGAAAAAATATAGATATATATTTTCTTAAGCCAGGAATGGATGCATGATAAACAGTCATCTCAAACAATTATGTGAAACATCACATTCTATCTGCTTCAGAATGCTTTTCCACAGAACATACTGGAACCGAGAACATTTTCCTTAATTGAAATGAAAAACTTCTTTAGTTGATTGTGGGTTGCAGCGACATTAGAAGGATTAAGAGATAATCATGCCTTTTTTCTAAATATTTAAAAGTCAAAGAAATTAAAACAGACCCCACAACAGGTAAGGTTCAACCATTGTTACACATTGACTTCCATTTTGTAACTTGTCAAAAAAAATGGACTATTTAATAGCCCAACAGAAATGTTCTGAACAGTTTATGGAACAAAAAACTGTTCATTAGGAAATCGAAATTGCGAATAGGCTTTAAAGAAGTTAAATAGGCGTCACATAAGAGCAGCATAAGGGAGAACAGTATTATGCTGATGCAAATTTATGAAATGCCCACTCAATAATGAAGTTGTACAATATCATTATGTTTCACATAAAACAAATCAACTCAACAAACCCTAATCCCAACTACTTAAAGTTGGATGATTACAGATATCTATCTTCTGCAATCAACTCTCTGGTGAAATCTATAAAAGCCTAATTTGAGTTTAATAACATAAAATGCACAGAAGAGAAATAACCTCAAGCATTTGCACAGCATATCTCTGAGCAGCTGCATCTTGCTCAGCAAAGACACGAGCATCTTCAGTAACCTTCTGTTCTTGCTCAACCCGCATCAGGACCTATATTGGGTGCAGGCACGACAAATTACAGTAACACTCATAACAGAGGGATAATACTGATTGTGTTTTCTAATCGGAAAAACACTTGACAAATTTAAACCTGAAGCATCACGTTTTCCTGCTCTTTCTTATCAGAAAGGGCTTGCCGTAGCTCAGCAACCTCTTGCTCCAACTGCTCAACCTGCAATACCTCAATTTGTAAGCATGACAACTGACTTGGAGCTTGAAGTGGGAAGAGAAACAGAATAATTAATTGAACTCAGTGGCTAATTAGTAGCTTTAAGAGAGAATTATATATCCATGTAACTATTGCAAAACAATTTCATATACATCAGTAGCCTTTAGATCATCTCTATAATGCCATATCAATTTTTTAGGGCTGGAACATAGAACTTAAGTCATTAGTAAGTGGAGTATAGAACTCAAGTCATTAGTAAAGTAACTACGTAGACTATATATTAGATATTATAAAAGACCACTCAAGTGCTTGTGCTTTACATAAAGAAGTGTTTAGTCTGCATTTGCTTGCACAAAGCACAAATCTGCATAAAATCCCAAGAATAAGGAAGATCCAACACTATCAGAAGCAAAAGAGAAGCAGATTTCCTATTACATTACAGCATAGACCAATATGAATTGATTTAGCGAATCCATTAACTACTTTTGTGGCTAGTCCAAATAATGTATGATGAATGGAGAAATAAAGTCCAACATTACAATCAAACCTCTCTCTCTATCACACACACACACACACACAGAACTAAGTTGCATCCCATTTCCATAACAAAAGCTTATGTGAATATGTTTCCATTAATATTAATACAATGGGCAGATGGAACACAACAAGAACAGTAGTCAAAGTACTATTTAAATATACCCTTGCACTCAATTGCCGTCGATTATCTTGCTTGACCATCTCCATTAGTGCTGTCTCCAGCTCCTCGGCTCTGGAAAAGAACAAGAATCACTCTTATGGATCTATCTCAATTTATGCCAGGAAGCAAATGGTTACGTTCATTTTAGGAGTAGTTTTATCTGTAAAGATTGACTGCCAACCATGCGAAATTAATGCCATTAAAAGAAATAGACAATGGGTATATGTCTGTTAAATGATAACATAGACTACTAGCAAAAAGAAAATTAAATCAACAATTTCCTCCAACAAAGTTAGTGTTGTGAACTTCAACAAAAATGTAGACAAACATAAAAGTGCTGCTGGACAAGCTAATCATGTAATGCATACCAGGCATCCAATACACTAGCTTGGGCACTTGGACTGGTTAACTACTTGTTTATCTCTTAGTAGAAGGAAACTCATACTGGGGTGGGTGACATTTCTTAATTAGAAACTCGATTCCGCGCTTCTAACTAAGAAACTTGTATAAACTTGCTCCCATCAAAGAAGAAACTCGTTCCCAACTGAGATAGATCCTCTCAAGCATACAAATCTCACAAGAAATAAAAGAAAAAACCTATTTTAGTGTGTTTACATAATATTTACTTATACTTAACAATGACAATTGTAGTTTATATCAATCTCTAATATTTATTCATATTTTAACACATATATTACAGCAGTAAAAAATATTTGTTAGAATATATTTATGTATTTAATATATAAAATATATACGTACTCCCATAGCCACTCCCAACCTTAGAAACTTCTATATGCCCTCACTCCCCCACTCCCACTCCCACTCCCACTCTCGCCACCGCTTTGTGCAACTAAATTTATCTTCTCAAATTGACATAATTACTGTCTCATTTTCAACCAAAAATTATGGGTAACCAGAAGCAACAAGAATCTTTGGAAAGATGCAGATATCACACACCTTAATGTAGCAGATCTCTTATCCTCCAGCATACTGCACAACTCAACCTTCAACCAAGTTACCTGCACATAAACTGTTAATAATGAAACTTAAAAACAGCTGCGCACGGGTTGCGTATGTTTGTCAGTGAACTTATTACATGTTCTATACCATTAGTTTCCTTTGTAAGTTTCAGAATTATAGAGCTAGAAATCTAGTCATACTACCCAACAAATGAAATAAGTGAGAGACAATGATATACCATCAGATATACAGAGCAATCCCAAGTACGGAAATATACTTGAAACTAATAAAGAATGCAACCACCATATCATTGCACAGTCATACCATGCCATGCAAAAGAGTAACTAGTCACATGCTTCAACAATGTTTTATTTTATCCAGTATCACATCTCAAATTCCTCAGTTTCCTAGAGAAACAAACTTCTACGGTACAGTCAACATTATCAGAGATCTTATCATTGGCAAAAGAAAGTATGCATCCCCCATCCACCCCCTTCCCAATAACAAGTGAATAATAATTAAATAAGACATAAGTATGCTAATCACTAAAGCAATTAATTTAACTTAGTTATGGAGCAAAAAACAATTTGAAAAGCAATTGACAAAAAATTTACAAATCATTTATCCCAAAAAAAAAAAAAAAATACAAATCAGATCAGTAACCATTGCTCTAACAGGTGGCATTGCATATCTCAAAGAATCATTACAAAACTCACAAAAATTAAAATTTGTTCTTGTTGCTTCATAATTTAGCAAAATTCAGTTTACAAGAAGAAAAAACCACCAAATAAAATCTTAAGTTATAATTTCAAAATAATTGAACCAGCTGCCGCAAAGTATCACTATACATTATTTTCCACACATTTTTAGCTGCAAAATTACTGATTAAACTTGCATAATCAAGCTTATCTACTATAATATTCGATAAATAACGTAGCTAATCCATTTAATCTTGGATTTTGGACACCATTCAATCTCTCTCTCTTTTCTTACTAAATGTAATTGAAAGGGCCTTTAGAATTTTGGACTTAGATTGGAGCCCCTCCATTTGATTGAGAATTAATAAGACTAATTTTGTTTTTAGGATTTACTACAAGGGTTGGACCTAGATGGGGACCTATTTTTGAATCAAAAGTTGGGAGCCCTAAGCGGCAGCTTTGCCTGCTTATGCTTAGGGCCAGGCCTGCTTACTAATGTGAAACAAGAAATAATCAATGTAGAAGAGAACTTGTAGAAAATATAATGAATTAAACTTGAGAACTATTGTTGAAATTAAGTGAATTAAATTAGCTTTGAACTGCTAATAATAATCATCAAAAACCTCATATTATTGCTTGTAGTACCAAGAAACAAATTGAAACTATAGAAATGAAAAATATTATTTAAAAAATAAATAAATAAAAATCACTGATATGTGGGACATACAAGGTTAGAAAAACAATCAGATAAGTTTGCTATATTCCCATATTTAATACAAGCAATAACAACAGATCACTTCTCACTTTTCAAAAAAGTTAAAAACGTAAATGTGATCCAAAAAAATTAAAGAAAAAATAACAGAAATGGTAAATACCTGTTCTTGAAGATCTGGAACAGAATCTACTTCTGTTTCAGTGGTTATACCACTGAGAAAGTCATCCAGATTAGTAGAACGAGACTCCAAATGAGAAATATCGCCATCACCTGACTCCACTTCTGCATTTGCATCCTTTTTTTGTGTTCCCGGATCATGCTTGAAACTATATAGCTTCGTTGCAAGGCCCTTGGAATTCTTTGAAACTTGCCCTTTTGATAGTTCCTCAACAGCTTCTATTACAGCTGGTCGATGCTTTTCTCTTAAGTCTTGCAATCTATCTTCAGTTACAGACAAGAAACCCATGCAAGCAGTCAAAACAAGCTGGCTGCTATCAAAAGTAGAACCAGCTAGGGACTGTAATAAAGTAATGGCATCCCCAGCATCCTTAGTTGTAACTAAAGCAGGACCTGCAAGAAGTTGAACCAGATTAAAATTTATCCATTAAACCATCCTAGACAGTAATGGAATGGCAGTTAACAATCCATTTATTCACATAAATTACAAAATAATAGATGTCCAAGTACCATACAACTCCATTAAAGCAAGCGCAGTTCGAAAAAGCATAACACGATTTCCTTCGAAGAGAAGCACATCCCAAATTCGAAGAACTGAAGTCAAAAGGAAACCGTCAGAACATAAGTATGTTTCATAACTATAAGCGTTCAAAATCAATCTTACGATGCCAGGATGTAGAAGAACAAAATTGTTGAACTAAATTGCTATACCACACGGCATAAGTCTCACCACTTTCCCATGGAAGCATATTCACATAGACGGAAAGGAACCAAGATGCAGAAATCCATGTAACCTGCACTCCCAAGTAATCCAGATGATTGACTGCAGTGGAAGCATTATAACAATAAGAAATTTTTAATGCTACATGAAATGAGAACATCTAATAAGAAGAATGATTATGCAATAGCAGAAAACAAACCCAGTTTTGGAAACCTTTTGCGCATCAATTCCTCAAAAACAAGCTGGTCCACCTGACAAGAAATATTGGAATAACTAATAAACGACAGTACAGGATAATACAGATTATAAAGTGTTCGGTGCTCATTAATCACCTATGAAGCACGGATGCAGGTACGTTACAAGTATGCCGAAACGGAAAAATCTAAAAAAATAGGATAGGGGTACGACTGAGGTACACTAATAAATTTTTTTAATTTACAGTTTGAGATTCAATATACAAATCAAAGTTCAATACCAAAACTAAAAGAAAAAATTACAAAACCAAAAGAGAAATCATAGTTCAATCCTACCAATACTAGTCTATAAACTGTTTTAATGTCATTAAATAGGAGACATTACAAAATAAAGTTTCATTCCAAAAGAGAGCTAAGCAAAATTTGAAAACTTAAAACTTCAATTTTCACTTCCATCAATTTCATCATTAAATAATACATCTTTCATCTCTGGCACATTAAGTACAGGATTTGCAATTTCAAGTAAATCAAAATTCTCTAATAAATGTATCTCCACCAATGTCCCATAGCTTGGTGTACCCTCAATGTATCCATCCTGTACCCATGAAGTACCAACGGAATACCCAACTACCAAAGAATGTATAAGAAGTATCCGGTACGTATTTCGAATACTCGGTACACATGCAGCCCTATCGGTATGAGTACCCGTACCCGGTACGAGTATGACAACATTTTTGAAGTACCAGTGCTTCATAGTTAATCACAGAAATATAACAAAATAAGCATAGAAGTACTTTTGAAACCGAAATAAAGCTATGAACAATTGATAAACAGCTCCGGACAACAAAAGCATATACCTGAGATTCTATCATTTCCTCCGAGTAGCAGCCATCAAAGTAGTCGTCAATAATACCAACAAAAGTCCTGAGAGATTCAATTCGAACTAGTCCATAACGTTAACTTAGTTGCCAGAGTGAAAAAATATGAAGCAAACATAAAAATACATGCTTCTATCAATAGAAACAACTATAAATAAATAAATTTAATCATTGTCTTTATTATTATTATTATTTTTTTAAAAAAAGACTTCCTTATTTCACCCAAAATAGTTAATATAAAATAAACAAAAATAAAAATAAAAGACAAAACAAAACAAAACGAACAACTACGGCAACAAGGATCCAACAACATGAAATCCTAAACTAAAGGGAGTAATTCTTAGTAACCTAATCCTTCTAGGCAGGGTGTCAAATCACACTCTAATTCGCAAATTGGCGAATTGAGAGCAAAAACAGGTCAAATCTGAGAATTCAAAATGAATGAGCTTTTGACCATTAGTAATCTACCATGTGTGCTTTTTGCCCACCCCTTTCACCCTAAAACACAATCCAGCCCATGAAAAAATCAAATGATTGTAGAAGAGATTTAAATCAGCACTCAAAGATGCAAATGAAGCTTGTTTATCACTATATTGGCAATACATGTATTTTTTTTATAAAAAAATCCTTTTAAACGTATTGAATCTTCTTAATATCTGTTCTTTCTCAAAATTTTCAACATCAATATTGAAAAAGCAAAAACTCGTAAGCTTACCAAAAAGCATTTTCTTCAGGCATCATCAGCAGCAATATGCCGGCAAAGAAGTTCATTGCCTGCATCAGTATTCATACCAAAGAGAATAAAAAAATAGAATGCATCATGATATTTGGAGTATTAGTTTTCATTGAATAGATTGAAAAGAATGAAGATGTGTGTCATACTGATTACAAAATTAAAAAGAAACAATAAATGCATTTTTGAAAAAACAAAAAAAGGGGAATTCTCAATAGGATGTCATCTTAAAGGTTTCAAACTGCAAGAAGAAATTAAATTATCTCCTACTCTTCATTCAACAAACGAATTAAAATCCAAATACCCTCATGCCCACCTAACGTAAAGAAGTGTCCTACAAGAGTTTCCACTATGGAATGATGACATCCCACTTTTTCAGTTACATTCAGTGAATGGCAAACAATATGTCCTACAGTCTTGAACTAAGTTACCAAAAACACAAATGCAATAGATCCATGAAATTTCACTGGTGAGTTCTATTTCCCAATTAGGAGCAACTTTGTTTGAAACAACAGAAGAAAAGTCCTCATTTCCACCTTGTTCATTAAGAAGCAACCAGCTAGTTGAATGACAAGTGGCAGTAGAAACATAGTCCCAACCACTGACAAGCAGCTGGAGTTGCTAAAAAAGTTCTATTCCCAAGATACACAATTGCTAAGGAATAACGTAGGTACCAACACCAAGGGATCAAAGAGAAAGACTTCTAGCTCAAATGTTAACCTAAGAATAGAGATTCCATCACACCAATTACCTGACAATACCCAACAGAGGGGTTATGTCGAGCATATGCTAAAAGTAGGCGCCTTAAGGAATCCCTACCATTTTCATCCAGTGCAGGATGACCTGGGAAAGTTCGATGCAGATCCTGCAAAGATTACATAAGAAGTTAGTCCAGGGAGAAATCTGCATTGGAATGCAAAGTAAAAGAAGCAGAACATACAAATTCAAAAAAGATTGAATGATAAAGTACAGGGCCCGCGCATCAATGACCTTCTCAATCTGCTTTTTCAATTTTTCAGGTACACCAACTGTGTCTCCATTTGGGCCCCTGTTGCCGTTGCCTGATTTATCATGCTCCTGTGTATCACTGGCATCACTTTCTGAAGCTAGCAAATTCTCATAATATCTCTCCACCCGTCGTGTCCTCACACCGACAAAGGCTTGCCATACCTGTAACAATGTTTCATAAGTACAACACTTCTCTGCTAAGATATAAATATAAGAGAGAAACTCAGTGGAAGTGTCAAATTTTACTTCTCCTCTGAGGTCCCTTGGTATTCCCCCATGAACAAGGAACTCCAATTCTTCTTTCCAAGGGAAAAAAGGTTCTGGAGAGATCCCATCACTCGCAGCAATTGCTTCTGCAGGAGCATTCCTAGTATCATCATCTACTATCTCGTTATCATAGAATTCTTCCTCAAAGTCTTCTTCAGATTCCCCTCTTGAAGTTATCGTCTCATCAATTGGTGGAAGATGATTTTGAGCAGTGGTCATATGCTCTTCTTTCATGTTCTTTCTCTTCTTGACACGGAAACTCATCATATTTTCAATGGAATGAAGTGACAGTCTAATCTGAGCCCATGTTTGCACCTTATCGGTTTTTGTTTGTTTTGACTCCTGTACCTCCTTCTCAGGTTCCTTTTCTGTCTGAACGTCACAAGCTGACTTCCCTCCACTTGAATCATCCCCTTCCCCACTTAACTGTGGACTAGGCTCTTCCCTCTGCTCTGTAACTTCACCATGCAATCTGTTGCTACTTTCTTCCTCAGGTGAGCACGGTTGAGCAGACTCTGCTTGCTGGTCAAGAAACCTTTTCCACTTTCCTGATCTTTCTTCTTCCTCTTCCTGAAACCAAAAAATAAAACCAAGGAAGTCATACAATACCTTTCTTTACTTTTCCAAAAGATCTTACAATTATATGACCATATTAAAATATTTGCTCTTTTTTTTTGGATAAATAATCAAACTTTATAAAAAAAGCATCAAGGAGATGCAAATAATACAAATGGAAAACCAACACCCCACATCGGGTGCAAAACTAACTAAACAAATCTTCCACAAAATCAACAAAAGTCAAAACATTAGGATCCACCAAACCCTTCACCCAACTATACAAAACCAAAAGTAACCTACTTTCTAACCAAAGAGCCGAGTGACTCAAATCTTAAAAAACCCGCTTATTACGCTCCAACCAAGTCAACCAAAACAAATAATGAGAAGCAAGTACCCAAGCCTTCCGATGCCTCTTCCTCTTCCGAGGGAATTACTATTTCATTTAATGATGAGAGAAACAAGAGAAAACATTACTTACTTACCCCAAAATAATAATAATAATAAACAAATAAATAATAAATAAACAAAAGAAAGGAAAACCTGTGAAAACCAAAAAGAACAAACCCAGATGGTAAATACCTTGTAGATATTAGCGTACTCCTTATATCTTTGAAGGTGTTGTGGTCTCACAGTAAATCCATAGGCATCCCTGTCAAGATAAATGTCAATGTGATTCGCAAGCTCAAAATTTTAATGTTACATCTTATATCACCACGGGGCAAAAACAACAACCATCATGATTTTAAATTTTCATATACATTAATATATAAGCTGCAATGCAAAAGCCAAACAACATAATTTCCCTCAATTTTACCTGGAATCAACGTCCAATGAACGCTTACTCAACAAGGATAACAACATACTTCACAAGGAATCCCGTTCTACTGCCCATAGCGCTGTTTCGCCTCAAACCAATCTCAGAAAACTAATCCTTGTACCACATTTCTCGAATCACAACAAAATTCAACACTAAAAATGAACATTTACACAGATCCTAACCCTAAATTCCTACAACAATCATCTACATTTCCTCACCAAACTCCGAGTAAAGGATTCGACACTACATTTAGATTTGCATTTAATGCAGCATCAAAATAAAATAAAATAAAATTAAAGGAAAAAATTAAAAAGAAGCCAAAAAAAATTATGATGATTTCGTGGAAACAAAAATGAGAGAAACGAAATTGATTCAAGTGATTGAGGAGATCACGAGTAGAAAATGAGTGAACTCGTTCAATCTAGCGAAAAAGCGTCACACAACACAACAGAGGCTTGAAATTCCGAATAATGCGTGAGATTGAGCTCAAACAACAGCATTACTAGAAAATTGGTCTTAAAGACGCGTGTAAATAAAGATCACAACACTGAACATATATATATCAAATATTTATGAATGAATATAGATAATGTGAATTTGTTACCTTCTGGGCTCGAAAAAGGGGATGAAATTGGAGGTCTTGATCGTCATCAAGAGATGGACGGACTTGATCTGATGGAAAGTCCGATTGTCGTCTGTGAATTCGGAGCATCTATTGGCTATTCCTTCATTTCTGCAACTACAACTGAATTCTCCCTCTCCTTCGCTCGCGCTCTCTCTCTCTACATTTTACACGCGTTCTCTCTCTGTGTCGGTGACAGCTTCGTTTGGAAGGGATTGACTTTTTTAAATATTTAACTAGTACAAACCAAACATATTTTTACATTTTGGCCCTTTTGGATTTGAGTCATAATTCCCTTTTCAGTTTATAACACAATTTTTTTTATAAAAAAATTATTTATAAATAATTTTTTATTAAAAAATTAATTATAACCATCTTTCCAAAATAGTTTTTTATTTTGACTGTTTTGTTTATTTGGAATTTTAAAAAATAATTTTATATTTATTTTTGAAAATTCTTTTTGAGGTGAAAAAGTTTGAGGTTGTCCGGCCGGTTGATCAAAATAATATTAATTTTTTTTTTTACAATTAGTACATGTTATTTTTTATATTTTAAATACAAAAAATTATAAGTTTTGAATAGAATTTTAAATTATGTGTTTGGTTATGAGTTGTAAGTTTTTATATTACACATCATATGTCACATCAAAAATTTCAAACTTAATTCAAAATTCTTTTTAAAACTCTTTTCAAAACTTCTAGTCAAACAAATTTTCTACACTCAAATCATAATTTCAGAACTCACAAATTTAAAAGAGAAATTTAGCTATAAACCCCCTTTATATTCCTTTCATTATTGAAATGACTAACAAAAAAATTATACTTTTTAAACCTCCTCATAATTATAAAGTCTTACATAAAGGACAAAATTTATTATTTAAATATTTTATCAGACTATTATACCCTCAACTAAACCTTCTCACCTTTTCCACCCACTCTCACCCCACATTCTCTGTCTCTCTTATCCCTCTCTCCCTCTTCTAACTTCTTCTACCTTCAAATCTATAAGCTCAGCTACCGCCTCTGGAACTCCTACATCAACCTCGCCAACGCTGTCGGCGTCCGATCCTCTTTCGCCGCTCCCTCCGGCGAACACGTCAAGCTTCACCACGTCTCCGCTGATTTGCTATTCTTATGTATATTTACATGTATGTGTTTATATATATGCATGTGTGTGCATGTATGTATGTATATATGACTCATACATACATGTGTATATTTATATATATCAATAAGTGAACGTATGTATATTTCTGAGTACATGCATGTATATTTGTGAGTACATGCATGTATATCTTTGAGTGAGTGAGTGTATGTATGTATATCTGTGAGTGTGCGAGCATATGTATGTATATCTGTAAGTGAGTGAGTGTATGTATGTATGTATGTATATCTGTGAGTGTATGTATGTATATTTGTGATTGTATGTATGTATGAGGCAGATTTGGAACAATAAAATTTTACTCTGATTAAAAACATGTTGATTTTCTCAGCAACCAAACTATATTTGGTTTTCTTATTATGTTTCTGTGATTTTTTCAGCAACCACACACGCAAGATTATTAATACATGACACTTAGTATGATTCAAAGTGGATACTCTCCTTAGATCATAGTAAAATTGTACTTTCAGAGTAAAATTTTACTCTAAATCAGAGTAAAGTTTACTATGATTCAAAATAAAATTTTACTCTGGTTAAAACCATGTTGATTTGCTTAACGATATAAAATTTTACTCTAAATCAGAGTAAAATTTACTCTGATTCAGAGCAAAATTATACTTTCAGAGTAAAATTTTATTCTAAATCAGAGTAAAGATTCAAAGTAAAATGTTACTTTCAGAGTAAAATTTTACTCTGGTTAAAAACATGTTGATTTGCTTAACAATATAAAATTTTACTTTGAATCATAGTAAACTTTACTCTGATTCAGAGTAAAATACTCTGAATCGGAATAAAGTTTATTATGATTCAAAGTAAAATTTTACTCTAAAATACACTGTGAAGATGACTTAATAGGAGAATTGATAGATATGAGGGTAATATAGTAAAAAAATCAAGTTTTAAAATATTATGGGATTTTGAAAGTACTTGTATGATTCTTATCATTTTGAAAGATAAATTAGACAGTGAAGGGTCTATCACTAAATCCCCCAACTTAAAATACAATTCACTGTGTTTGGTTTGAGTTTTCTGGATTAAGTTTTTTGAAAACTGAGTTTTTTAATTTACGTATTTTTTTATTTTTAGTGAATATTTTTAAATTTTTAAATATTTTTTTTACTTTTTTAGATGCACCTTACTTAGATGTGTCCAAAAAGTAAAAAATTGTGAAAAAATATTTTAAAAAATTAAGAAATACATAAAAATACAAAAAATGTGTATTTTAGAGTAAAATTTTACTCTGATTCAGTGTAAAATTTTACTCTGAATTAGAGTAAAGTTTACTATGATTCAAAGTAAAACTTTACTCTAAAATTTTACTTTGGTTAAAAAACATGTTGATTTTCTTAGCAACCAAACTATATTTGATTTTTTTGTTATGTTTATGTGATTTTCTCAGCAACCAAACACGCAAGGTTATTAATACATGACACTTAGTATGATTCAAAGTGGATACTCTCCTTAGATCATAGTAAAATTGTACTTTCAGAGTAAAATTTTACTCTAAATCAGAGTAAAGTTTACTATGATTCAAAATAAAATTTTACTCTGGTTAAAACCATGTTGATTTGCTTAACGATATAAAATTTTACTCTAAATCAGAGTAAAATTTACTCTGATTCAGAGCAAAATTATACTTTCAGAGTAAAATTTTATTCTAAATCAGAGTAAAGATTCAAAGTAAAATGTTACTTTCAGAGTAAAATTTTACTCTGGTTAAAAACATGTTGATTTGCTTAACAATATAAAATTTTACTTTGAATCATAGTAAACTTTACTCTGATTCAGAGTAAAATACTCTGAATCATAAAGTTTATTATGATTCAGAGTAAAATACTCTGAATTAGAGTAAAGTTTACTATGATTCAAAGTAAAATTTTACTCTAAAATACACTGTGAAGATGACTTAATAGGAGAACTGATAGATATGAGGGTAATATAGTAAAAAAATCAAATTTTAAAATATTATGGGATTTTGAAAGTACTTATATGATTCTTATCATTTTGAAAGATAAATTAGACAGTGAAGGGTCTATCACTAAATCTCCCAACTTAAAATACAATTCACTGTGTTTGGTTTGAGTTTTCTGGATTAAGTTTTTTGAAAACTGAGTTTTTTAATTTACGTATTTTTTTATTTTTAGTGAATATTTTTAAATTTTTAAATATTTTTTTTACTTTTTTAGATGCACCTTACTTAGATGTGTCCAAAAAGTAAAAAATTGTGAAAAAATATTTTAAAAAATTAAGAAATACATAAAAATACAAAAAATATACTAAATTCTTGTATTTTTTTTGTATTTTTGGTATTTAGTGAATTTTTAAAAGATTTTTTTACAATTCTTTTACTTTTTAGGTATATTTTTGTTAGGTGTGTCTAAAAAGTAAAAAATTTGCATAAAATATTTAAAAAATTCAGTAAAAACAAAAAACACGGAAAATAAAAGTGTAGAATTTTCTGAAAATTATTTTTAAAAAATGGGAACCAAGCAAAGTGATTATATTCTCAAATCATAATTTCAAAACTCTTCTAAACACCACCTTAGGCCAAGTTTGGGAAGACTAAATAAGTACACTTTTTGACTTTTTATGAAATATGGGTTGGATTTGGGTTGGATTTGAAGTGATGTGTTAGAGAAGTAATGTGACTTAAATAAGATGATGTGACTTAAATAGGATAGTGACTTTTTGACTTTTTAGATTTTTTGGAAGATGCCAAACTTGGCCTAGTTTTCGTTCAAACAAAACTAGTATCTTAGTTTAGGATTAAAAAGTTTTGTGTAGGTTGAAATTTTTGATTTTTTTAAAAAATAAAATAATTATATTTTAAATGTGGTATTTTATTTTATTAATTTTTTAATTTATTTTATATTTTTATAACTATTTTAATTTAAAAAATCAGCCCAATCAATATGCCATAAGCGGGTGGAAAATGTAGCTACAAAGGCAATGGTCGAAGATCTTCTTAAAAAAAAAAAGAACCAAATCACGTGTCATACTTTTAACAAATGGAAGAATTTCAACACAGTGGACTAATAAAATCAAAATAAAAAAAAAAATTACGGTAACATTTTGTAGAATTTTTTAAATATGATTTGAGAATAGAGTTATATTTTAAATTTGTGAGTTTTGAAATTATAATTTTAGTGTGAAAAATTTGTTTGGTTATGAGTTTTGAATTGAGTTTGAAATGAATGATGTGACATATGATATATAATTCAAAAACTTACAATTCATAACCAAACACATAATCTAAAATCCTATTCAAAACTCATAAAAAAAATTAAAAAATTCTAGAAATATTTTTTATTTAAAATATAAAAATAACAGGTGCAAAAAAAAAAAAAAACGAACACTGTTCCGATCAATCGGCCAAACGTCCAGGCTATCCAAATTTTTCCGTCTAGAAACGAGTTTTCAAAAGTGTCTGTAGAATTATAATTTAAA